GGAAGGTGCTGCACTGCACCGTGGTACTGGGTCATATCAGCACCAGGGTGCAGAGTCGGCCCCCCAACTGTCCCAGGGACTTTGGTGGGGAGATGGGTGGTCCAAGGGTGCTTCTTCAGTAGTCTGAACTGTTCTGAGATTGTGTTTACTTCATGGCACTAGCTACCACTTCCCATCCTTGCCAGCTGTCCATGTTTTGTTATGTCCATAGCCTTAATGCTGGGTGGACAAATTGGCTTGCAGCAGAATTCAACCTTCTTCCATTATTTTTGAGTGAGGCACTGGAGTTCTTCCGGCTGTCCCATCTTTCAGGGGCATCCTACTATGTTGTCTCTGCTTACAACGATTTGGAGAGTGAACCAACAAATGGAAGATCTCTCCCTTCTCGGTCTATCCTTCTCTCTCTACCTCTGTCCTGAAGGAAGAAACCTCTCGGGCCTGGAGAAGGCCTAGGACTTGGTCACTGCCAAAAGGCCCCAGCATTGGGTCAGGCCTGGCTGAGGCACCCCCCACAACCGCCACACTGCAGGGAGCTGCTTTAGCCCCAACCCCCCCGGCCCGCACCTATATCCAAACATCTTAAAACATCCTGGACTTTAGTTGGGGCTGAGGTGCAGATTGTTTTAAGTCCTAACTGAAAACCACTTTCGATCCAACTTGCTGCTAATCTGCCTGGCTTCAGCAATGACTAGGGGAGTGAACCAGTGCATGACTGCTACTGTACCTTTCAAACAAATGATTCTTAGGATAAACAAACAAATAAGAAAACAAATTTAAAAACCAGTTAATCATTTATCAACCAGAAATACTGTCGTCAACTTTAGACCAACAGATCATAAACAGTGTCTTAGAGAAAAAGATTGAAAGGGTTAGACCTGGTGCCGTGGCCTAGTGGCCCCAGGATCCCATATGGCTGTTCTAAACCCGGCAGCTCCACTTCCCATCCAGCTCCCTGCTTGTGGCCTGGGAAAGCAGTCAAGAATGGCCCAAAGCTTTGGGACCCTGCACCCATGTGGGAGACCTGGCTTCAGACTGGCTCAGCTCCGGCCGTTGCGCTCACTTGGGGAGTGAACCATCGGATGGAAGATCTTTCTCTCTGTCTCTCCTCCTCTGTGTATATCTGTCTTTCCAATAAAAACAATTTTAAAAATTTTTAAAAAAAAAGATTGAAAAGGTTAATTAGTTTATCTTTACTGGTGTCTCAAAAGAATTCAAAACTCCTTTACAGTGTTAACTTATTAAATTATTAACACTTTTCAAAGGCAATTTTGTATGCATGTTCTTTGAAAAGTTGTAACAACATGTTTAAAACCAATGATTACAATCAGGGAAGGGGACTCTTTCCAGTGGGGGGTGGGGACTGGCTCATATTTGCAAAGTCATTCACATTCCACTCTAAATCCTTTTATTTCATCAAGAGTTACACCTAGGTGGCTGGCTGCTCCTCCTCTAGGGTCTAATTTACCCCTGGAAAAGCAGAACATAGCTAAATCCTTCTAGACCAAGAAACTCTGTTTCTACTTTGTAAAAAGCAAGCACTGTGTGTGCGCACTCCCTACAAATTTTCAACTCCAGAACAGAAAAGTCCTAACTTTGTATTACAAAGTCGTTGCAAATGTATACACGGTTTCTTTGGGGGAAGATGAAAACTTCCTAAAATTGATACTGTGAAGCTGGCTGCACCATTGTGAAAATACTAAAAACCACTGCCCTGCCTGTTAGAGATGACTTGTAACCACAATGAAGGCTTCATCTTTACAAAGTATTTGAGTTCTTCCTCACTACAGTGTTTCTAGTGATGGACCTTTTCTCCAAATGTTAACAGCAAGCCAAGTGGCCAAATAACCATATGCAGAGATCCCGCAATACCAACGAAGCTGCCACTGAGAGGACTAGGCCAAGGCCGATCACACCCACTGGGAGGGAAGGATAGGATGTTGGCCGCACAGCCTCAAACTCCTCCCAGACAGGAGGAGCAGGTTCCTCCCAGCTCTCACCCAGCCGGGACCACGGGGCCACCTCAAAGATGCTGACTGCTTTCAAATAAGGCCATTTTACATTCTGGCTCTACATAAGGGACCAAACTGACGACCACAGGAAGTTAAAGCTCAAAAAAAAAAAAAAAAGTGTCTGCCATCTGGGGCTTGATTTAAATCTCTTGACTTTTGGATACTGCCAAGTAAGAAATGTGTGGAATCTGCCTATCTATGGCCAAATGTTAGATGCTTAACAGTGAGAAAGTGAGTTATTAAAAAATACATTTCTGTCCAATTTGGGAGATCAAAAACAGTACTTAAAGCAGTCAACTAATTTTTAACCTAACAGCTACATCTCTAACTTGAATCATCTTTGAATACTATCAAGTAATACAGAAAATGTCACTTTTCCTTAAACACGAATCTATCAAAGACAAAATGTACATTTTGGAGGTAATTGGCCTAAGGATTAAGATGTTGCTTCCGATGCCATATCCCACATCCCAGTGCTCAGTTCCTCTGCTTCAGATCCAGCTTCCTGTCAGTGTGCCGAGACCCAGCAGACCATGGCTCATGCAGCTGGGTCCCTGCCACGCTCCAGAGAGAACTTGCCTTTCTGACTCCTAACTTTGGCCTGGTTCAAATCCAGTCCCTACAGGCACTTAAGTAAACCAATGTATGGGACAGACTAATCAAGATGTCACTCCCTAAAATACTTTCTAAATTTGCATTTTAAAACTAACAAAACCAGGTTAACTGTTAAACCTGTTTATGCTACATACTTGGTAAAATGAAACAAAGATTGGCTTTTCTTATAAACTCAGAATTTGAGTGTCTTTTATCACATTCACCTTATAAACCAAGAAACTGTTTCACAAAATTGAGTCCCTCTGCGTCACTACGGAAAATAGGAAAGCAAAGACAGGTAGCTTTGGACCCTGCCAGAGAAAGTAGCCAGATATGGAAGCCATGCTAAGCACCACTGAAGACAACAAGTAGCACAAAAGCAAACAGGCCCCTTATCATCTCTCCCTTACCTCAAGCAGAATACCAACAGCCCCAGCTCCCCTTAGTCACCTGTGTTCCCAAAACCCAAGGAACATAAGTCATAAACATGGGTATTATAGAAAGCTACACCCACAGAAAACACTTTAAGACCCTTGAAGGCATCCTCTTTACAATCTTTCTATTACATGAAACCACTTGTTCACAGCTTTCCCAAACAGTTTCTAAAACAAAGAGTGTTTCCGTCTCCATAAGCCTTTGTTCCAGCAAGACCCTCTTTAGAAACTGCAACTTCTGGAAAGAGCCCCCTTTTTGTGGCTCCACCAGCAACATACGCCCACAAACTCTCCCCACTCGGCGTGGGAGTTTGCTAAACAAAGGAGCCCAGCCCCTCGGCACAAAGGAGGGCTCCCCGACTGCCCCTAAGCCGCGGGTGGCTGGGTAGCCCAGCCTCGGCCGTGCCAGGGAGCACTCACAAGGCAAAATGGTGGCCACCACATCTGCCTGCCACTCAGTGGGGGAAGATAACACGGGTATCCCTCCTGCCACCCCCACGGTCAAGGGGGCTCCGACAAGGAGGACCCAACAGAGCCTCGCAGTCCGACCTTTTGTGGGACCCACATCCCATGGGGAGCCAGGCAGCAAAGCTGCAGAATAAAGGAGGACGGACCCCAGCCCTAGTATCCCACAATACCAACATGGAGGACAACTCCAGGAACCTGACGCTTCACACACCTGGGTTGCCAGCAACTTCCTCAAGTGGCCCACGGCGGCCTAAGAACCCCCTGACGCGGACGCGCGCTGTCCGTCGCCCCCGTACCCACATCAGCTGCGCGTGCAGACGCCCACCACGGCGCCGCCTCCAACTTCTCGGGGCCTACCCAGGTTATGGTGAGGGTGAGCCTGTCGTGTCGGCCGCCCCGCCGAGTGGGGCCCTCTTCCCCACGGCCTTGCACCCACGCGGGGCCCACACTTGCTCCACAAGGCTTTCTTCAGCTCCCTTTACAAACTTGTCCAAGAAAAAATTGTAAAAAGTGGGGGGTCAGCACTTCCACACAGGGGTGAGGGGCCCCAGGCCCCAAGAGGCCCACATCCCCACCCGCGGACGCCAAGGTCACACCGCGGGGGCGACAAGGGGGAGGGGGAGGGGCCGCCCGCGAGAGCGGCGGTTAAACCCCGTTCCCAACCGCCCGGGCCCGGCCAACGGCCGCTCGGACCAACTTGGCCTCGGCCGCCCCACGAGGAGCAGGGCCAGGGGTCGCACGACGGCTACAACCACGCGATCGCCGGGGCCGGGAGCACCGGAGTGACCCCCACCCCAAGCCCCCCAAACACAGCATCGCTCCCTTCCTGTCCCCCCACCGCAGCCAAGTCCCGCGCTCACCGGCCCCCCGAAACCCGGGCCGCAGAGGAGCGCAGGTCACAGTCCCCCCAGGACCCCCGGACACGGACACCCCACAGCAGCAGGACACCGCGGCTCCCCGGCGCCCCCGGTGGCGCCGCTCGCCCCCTGCTGACCCCGGCTCCCGGGGCTGGGGGTGCGGGGTGGGGAGCAGTCTGGAACACGGGAGCCGAAACCAAGGGGTGCCCTGGTGTGGAGGGTGGGGCGCCCAGGTGAGGGCCGCTCCGGGCCGCCGCCGCCGCCGCCACACAAAGGACTAGGGGCTCCAGCCGCCATATTGAAAACTTTCCTCGTCGCCTCCAACTCCGAGTCCGCCACCCCCGGGCCCCCCAACACCCCAGGCTTGCGCCGCCCCCGCCGCCCCGGCCCTTCCAGCGCCGCGCCTCGGCCGAGCTATGGGAGGAACCCGCCGCTGCCGCCTCCCCGCGCTCGAGCAGGGGACGTCCCCCCCGGGGACCCCGCACCCCCGTCCGCCTGCCAGCCCGCGGCCCTCCCGGCGCCCCCCGAGCAGCCCCCCGGACGCCCGAGCAGCACCCCGCGGAGCCGCACTCGGCGGCGAGGCCGCCTCCCGAACCCGGGCCGCGCCGGCCCGGTCGGGTTCTCTTCCGACAACTCACCGGCGGCGGCCGCACCTTGCAGATCCCCGTCTGCTCAGCGATGGGCCGGATCTTGTGGATGAAGGCGAAGGGGTCAGCAAACTCTTCCCAACTGGGCTCGAAGACTGGACACTCGGGGGGAGGCAGGAACTCGCCAAGCGGGCCGGGGCCCCCGACGGGCAGCGCGGGCCGCGGGCCGGGGCACAGCGCGGCGGCCGCCTCCATCATCAGGCGCTTCTCCGATGGGACCGGACTGCGAGCGGCGCCGGGGGCCGATGGCAGCTACGGACGCGGCTCGATCTGCGAGTGCGACTCAGCCCGGCAGCGGCTGCACCGGAGCTACCAGCCTGCCTTCCTTCTTCTCCTCCTCCTCCTCCTCCAACGACGACGTCCGCCGCCACCCTACGCCGTGCGCCTCCGCCGCCACGGCGAGGAAAAGGAGTCCCTCCCCGCCCCCACCCCGGGCTCAGGCTGGGGCGCGGCCGGGGTCCCCAGGGTCCTGGTGGCGGGCGAGCGTGGCCCGGCCCCCGGCGTGCGAGTTCCCGCCCCCGAGAGCAGCTGGGGCAGACGGAGGTGGCGAGGACACGACACGAGTGTCCACTCGCGGAGCAGCGCGGGGCGGGCTCCCCTGCGTGGGGGGCCTTGGGAGCCACTTGTAGCGCCCGCACCGCCGGCCGCCACTCTCTGCGCGTTCTGCGTGAAGGATCGCGCCCGTGTCCACCCTGCCAAGGCGCCCGCGGCCCGAGGGAGCAGCTGGCAGCCGTGCGCGGGACTAGAAAGCCTAGGGGACCCCCGTGGGGGTGGGTGTTGGGGAAGCGGCCCCCGCCAGCCCCTCGGCCGCGCCCGGACGGCGGCCTCGCAGCCCCCCATGGCTCGGGTGGCAGGCCCGAGGAGGACACAGGTGTCCGGCCCACAGGCGGGGAGCGTGGCCCACAAGGGGAGGGCACTCCGGCAACGGAACTTGGCTTCGGAAGTGGCTACACAAAGCCGGCCACGTCCCGCAGCCCACGGGGACGGCACGTGAGGGGGCCTGGCTCCACGCGCCCGAGTGGGCCGGCCCTGCGTGAGCGCCTAGGGGAGTGGGAGGGCGGCGCGCAAGACCTCAAAACACAACTTCACACGGACATGGGCCCTGTGTCCAGAAAGCAGACGCTGCTGCCCCGCCTCCCCAGGACTTCACTGGGGCCGCCAGGGGACGAGGTCCCCCGGAGGAAGGCGTGCGTCCCGAGGGCCTCTCTCTAGAAAAGGGACAAGGGGACCTGGGGTCCCCCATCTCCCACAGACTCTTCCCAGCGAGACTCGGCCCCCGAAGGAGCTGCTGGCAGCGGTCCTGGGTCCCACCCCCAGCCGCACGGGAGCCGGGGGAGACGCGAGGACCCGAGGGATCGCAACCCCGTCCTCCTGCCGCCGCCCAGTTGTGTGGACGCGTGTCAGGGTCCAGCGTGAGGAAGACTCCGCGGTGGCTCTGGGCCGCAGCCGCCTCCCTGCCTCACGCTCGCTTCCCACGAGCCAGGCGAGCACAACTTTGTGAGGACGACTCCGGGGGCGCGGTGCCGGCCGGGCTCGGTCCAGGGGCGCCCGCGGGCCCGCCGCCAGCCCGGCCCCGCTGCCCGGGGGCGCCGCCGCGCCCCTCCCCCGGCGCCGCCGTGCCCTCTGTGATGCGTGTTTACATGCGCGGAGGGATCCGTGCCAGCTGACAGCCGCACGGGCAGCCGGCGCTTCTTTTTTTAAAGAGCCCAGCCGCGGGCGCTCATTGGCCACGGCGCGGCCGCATCAGTCCCCGGGGGCGGGGCGCGGGCCGCATTGTCTGGTCCGGGGCCGGCCGGACGCCCCGCGGGCCGGACCCGGGCCACCCCGGGCTGGAAGGGGGCTGGCGCCGGCCTCCCGAAGGGCTGCGTGCGCGGCCTCGGCCGGGCTGCCGAGGAGGCGCAGGCCGCGCGGCCCTGGCGGCCGCAGGGCATTCGAGGCCGCTGCGAGTGCCACGTCTCCAGGAACCCACTCCTTCCGCCGGGACGCACCCCTTCCCCCGCGCGGGCCCCGACCCCTGAAGCTGTGGATGGCTCCGACCCTGCCGAGGGCGGGATCGCCGCCAGCACGCTGAGTCCCCAGCCGGCCTGCGCCTTCGGACCCCGCGGGGGGCGAGGGGCGCTCCTTGGGGAGCGCGCTCCGGTGTCCCCCGCCACCCCGATCCCGGCCTGCGCTGCAGGGGGCGGCCCCCCGCGCTTGGGAGGGAGCGGCAGCCGCGCGGCACGTAGCGCACGTGTGCGGCACCGACCTGAGTTCCTCGGTCCCGGCCCTGGAACGTGCGGAGTCAGGTGGCCCATGTGGCAACCCGCACATGCCTGCCGGGTTTCTTTGGGTGTCCGCTGTCATGCACCGTGTTTGGTGTCGAACTTTCTGCTCCTGTGTCCCTGCCCAGTCCTTCGCCTGCGCCTGCACCCGGGAGTGGGAGAAAGGCCCGCACCTACTTGAAGGGGACGAGGAGCCTTACAAGGGTGTCCCCTCGGCTGGACAGACCTGCCGTCCCCAGCTGTCCTGCCCTCCTATACTGTCCCGTAAGCTGCACTGCTCCCTTCCTCAGATCTCTCGCTGACAGCTCACCCCGCCCTGAGAACTGCCCTGGGGTCCAGTGCCATCAGTGATGGTGTCAACTCAGAGCTTCTGTCCATGGACCGCAAGTTTGTGGCCTCTCTGGGGACCCCCCACCTCCCTCTGCCTCCCCTCATCTCCCCAGCCTTCTCATCTCCTTTCCCTCATTCCCTCTTATCTCCCTTCCCTCCTCCCCCATCTCCTCTTCCTCTCCAGTCTTGGAATCCCTTTTTAGCTGACTCAGGCCTGCTGAGATCTGGGGTAACTGCACCCTGAGCCCCAGGCTCAGGTGTGTCTGGGTGTGAGCCCCCAAGGGGCCAGGCCCTACCCTGGGTCCTGAGCAGGCAGGCGGCAGGTTCCCACGGTGCAGTCTGACCCGCCCTGCCCACGCTAGGCCTTCAAGGCACGTTTCCACCCGTTCCAGTTGGGCCACTTCAGCAGCCCAGGACTCCTGAGTGGGTCCGGAGACGCCGCCGGACCGGCTGCGTGGGAAACCCAGCTTCCTGCGCTCCCGCAGCTGCAGCCAGCCTGGCCACCACCAGCATATGGACCTCAGGGGCCCTCTCAGCTCAGCCTTCTCAGCGCTGTGGCCTTGGCCAGCTGGAATGTTTGGAATTCCCTGCATGTGGGATGAAAGCCTTCCAGCAGGATGATGCAGGCTAGCCTCCAGTCACTCAGGGGGGCCCAGAGCACCTGGCCCACCCCACTGGAAGCTATTACAACCAAATGAAGCTGTATCTAGCCCCCGGGGCTGATCCCTTACTGTCCAGTTCTAACTCCCTCCTCCCCCTTCCCTGGTGGGAAGGGGCTGGATGGGAACAAGGAGAAATGGTAGGCAGGAGTAATTCAGTCTGTTAAACTTGGGAGCTTGTAACCATTGCCACCACTTTTCAGATGCAGGAATGAAGACTAGGCCAAGGGCAGCAGGTGCAGTGACCAGGACACCATTTGGGACACCCACCTCCCATCTCGGCACACCTGGGTCTGATTGAGTCTCTGTCACCATCAAGGCAGACTAGATTGAGTTTCAGCTGGCCAACCTTGGCTGTTGCAGGTATCTGGGTAGTGAACCAGTGGAAGAGAGAGCTGTGTCTCTGTCTTCCTCTCTGGATCTCCACTTTCAAACACCTGAAACGCCTTAGCCACAGTCGCATTGCTGATAGCAGAGCAGGGACTAGGGTAGTCATAGTGGCCACCTGCTTCTGCAAACAGCAACCTGACTGCTCCCCTAAAGGCCATAGGCCCCCCACAAGTGGCCCTCCCTCTCCAGAACTGTAGCATCCACAGCAACAGCACAAACCCTCCTGTGGTACATTCCTCACCTTCTGCAGAGGTCTCCCTGCTGGAGACCCCCTGAGGGAGGTTTGTAACCTGTAATAGTGAACAAGTACTGCCTCAATGTACTTTCTCCTGCTCTTTGAGCAGCTTCCAAGAAGGTACGCGCGGACACAAAGGGAGAGAGGCAGACGCCAGCTACTTGCAACCCAAGGAGGCAGACAGGCGCTCTGCAGGAAAACCTCCCTCCAACCCTCTGATTGTGGACCGAGAACAGCCGGGTGTGTGTGTGTGTCTGTGTGGGCAGGGTGAGGGCAGCTGGTGGAACCCTCACTTCTCAGCTATGGGCAGCTCAGCTCAGCCTTGCAGAAGGTCGATGCTGGTCAAATGTTCATCCTCTCCCCTCTGCTTCTCTGGGGAACCCTGATTCATTCTGGAGTCTTCATGGAAACACATATATATTTTTTTTTAAGTGTGGGTTTGAACATTATGTCAGCCGGAGTTTGGTGTGAGTCCTGGCTGCTCAGCTTCCAGTCCAGCTCCCTGCTTAAGTACCTGCCAGAAAGGACAGTGAAAGTCCAAGTGCTTGGGCTCCTGCCACCCACGTGGGAGACCCAGATGAAGCTCCCTAGCCCCAGCTTTGGCTGGACCCAGCCTTGACTGTTGTGGCCAGCAGATGTATATTAAGTTTTCTGATTAATCTTTAATTCCATTTTCCATGAGCTTTTTCAGCTAGGCTTGAACACCTCCCATTCTCTCTTGTCCTCCTGAGTCCCCAGGACAATCTACATCATACAAGAAATCAGTATCTCTTACTCCTGCACTTGGACCCTTGATTATTCACTCCCCTTCCTTCTGTTGACTTTCCCCCACCTCAATCCCCATAGCTGTCCAGCCGTAGGGCTCACGCTATTCCCAGCTTTTGGGTATCCTGTGCCAAACAGATGCCCAGCACGAGAACAAGAGCTGGCCAACAGTCTCCAAGTCTCCCTAGACATGACTTGAATCAGGGGTTACCCAGGGCCTGGGAGGTGGAGTGCAGTCCGTCAAGGGTGCTGCAGCCCTGCAGGGATCATCCCGGCTCACACAGGGAGGGCAGCTACTTCCAGCTGCTCCAGAGAAGCCAGCTAGTAGGCTTTTAGGCAAGCACTCTTCATCTTTCAATGTTTCGGCAAACTTCAAAAACAGTGTGTAGACCAACAGAGAACACTTGTAGTCAGACTTTTTTTTTTAAGATTTGTTTTATTTTTATTGCAAAGTCAGATATACAGAGAGGAGGAGAGAGAGGAAGATCTGTCAGTTGATTCACGCCCCAAGTAACCACAACAGCCGGTACTGTGCCAATCCAAAGCCAGGAGCCAGGAACTTCTTCCAGGTCTCCCACACAGGTGTGGGGTCCCAAGGCTTTGGGCCGTGCTTGACTGCTTTCCCAGGCCACAAGCAGGGAGTTGACTGGGAAGTGGGGCTGCTGGGATTAAAACTGGTGCCCATATAGGATTCCGGGGCATGTAAGGCGAGGACTTTAGCTACTAGGCAACTGTACCGGGCCCTAGGCTTTTTAATATTTATTTATTTACTTATGTTCTCTAAATCCTCCAGAGAAACTGGAATAATATGGCAAAATACAGAAACATTCTTGGAGTACTGTGTACCTGTTTGAAAATGCAAAAATTAAAATGTGTATGTGTGGGGATGGGCAGAGGGAGTGATATGTTAGGAATACAGGAAGATGGCCCTCTCAAGCAGGAGGTAAAGGCCATGGTGGCAGTGGACATTACAGCTCAGCATCCCATAGCAAAGTGCCCAGGACAGCACCCCAGCTCCACTTCTGACCCTGCTTCCTGCTAATGCTCCTAAGAGGCAGCAGAAGACGGCTCAAGTGCTTGGGTTCTGCCACTCATGTGGGTGACCCGAAAGGAGTTTCTGATTCCTAGCTTCAGCCTGGTCCAGCCTCTGGCTACCATGAGCATCTGGGAAATGAACCTATGAACTTCTCCCCATCCCACCTCAGCCTGTCAAATAAAGCAGTAAAAACTAGAACACAGTACTGGCACTGGACTTCAGGGGGAACACAAATGGCTCATTCTCAGGAGGTATGCACATGTCACGTGTCAGTCCTATGCCTGTGCACCTCTGTTGAGAGGGGAGCAGGCGGGCAGCACACAGGAGACACATCACAGAGGGGATTAGGTCAAGAGCAGATGCCTGGGGAGTCTTCATTGTGCTGCCTGATCACCTTCTCGCTCGCTATCCCTCTCTCTCGCCCCTCTGAGGGGTCTGTGCAATCAAGACACAGTCTAGAAAAATCAGCTACTTTTGTGTAGAGGTTGGTGTCAGAACCACTTAGGGGACTGGAAATATGCAGGGAGAGAATCAGGAGGCTGGTGAGCAGATGGAGTGAAGCGCCTCCTCTATTTACCTGCAAGCAGGAAATACATCCTCCCCAAACCCCAACAATAACTCACCTTCACACACAGCTGGCAGAATCACGTCCCAGTGAAGGTCTGTGAAGATGAAAGATTGAAGGAGGACACAGGCATTATTGCAAACAGAAACCAGCTCACGGCAGCACTCCAGCGCATCTGCTCTGATAGTTCAATTTTTGTTGGAAAAGGAGGTGGAGGAACCAGGATCACCTGTTTTTCCAGGTAAAATGGAATGTCACTGAGACACCTGGCTGGCCTTCATTTGAGTAGGGGGAATGTGGGGAGATCTGATCCAAGGTCAAGGGGTGTGAGTTGCCTTCTCTTTAGTTCCCTAGGGGCATGTTGGGAAAAGTCAGGGGTGATGATGCCAAGGTGGCGTGGGTGACATGACAGTGACACCTGGGGGCAAGTGGGGGTGAGTGACATGTGGGAGTGATGGACTGACATGTAAGCGTGACCAGGGGTGATGTGTGCAAGTGTCGTGGGGTAACAGGGGATGATGTGGAGGTGATACGTGGGGGTTGACATGTGGGGTACCATGTGAGGATGACTAAGGGTGGCATGGAGGTGACACTGGGGTGACATAATGGAGGTGAACCCTTGCAGAACACATAGGAAAGGTTCAGGTGTGGCATCCCCAGAAGTCTACATTGCTTTCTTGCTGTAGGTGTCGCAGCCTGAGAAGTCACCATGCGGTATTCCATCAGGCGTTGCATCTTAACCTGCATGGCCATTGCGCTCCTGTGGCTCTTCATCATTTTGGAAATCCCCAGAGAAATCGAAGATGATAAAATCATCATGCTGATTGAAGGCGAAGTAGCAACCCTCACTCTCATTTGGGGACTGGGGGTGGGGGAAGGGAAAGTAGCAAGGACCAGCAGTTTCTTGAGAGCAGCTTCCTTTTGGAAGCTTCCCGTCTGAGAGCAGGAAGCTTCAGAGGGAACCTATTAGTCACAGGGAAGCTGCTGGACTTGCAGGTGTGTGTTAAGGTGATGGGGAGGAGCCAGGCCTGCCTGCTGAAGCCCTGGGTATCCCAGGCTACCCGGCCAGCATCCTGAATGCAAGCTGGACTTGCTTCCAGACACTGCGACTCCCTCCACCTGCCATGTGCCTGGAAAAGCTGTGGGAAGCCACTGGGGTGCAAACCCTCCTCTTCTTGGGAAAGGGGACATGTTTTCCCTGTCCCTATCCCAGGGGGGCAGTTATGGCATGAGCAAGAGCCTGAAGCCACTAGAAGACTGGGAGACAATCACCCTGAAATACACGGAAAAAATCCAGCGCAGAAGAAAGAGTGAGTGCCAACGCTGGGAAATGGGGATAGGTGGTAGGAGTAAGAGGGTAAGACTGACAGTGCCCAGGAGGATTTGCATCTGGAAGGAATTTTCTTCCCCTGCTCCAGTCATTGTCATCTTAGGGAAGAGAGGATGCAGGAGGGGAAAGGTGGGATTCTGTGCTACCGGTGCAGCACGAGACATTGCTGTGCTGTCCTGAGTGCGTAGGGCCTGCTCGCGCTGGCTGCTGACCTCCTTCAGTGAGGGCAATGTTTGTGTTTGTGGTTGTGCTGGGCATCCTTGGGATGGGGGGAGGGAAGCGAGGCTTATCATCTTTACGGTGTTTAAATGGAAAGGGGGAAGAAATCGAGTATCATAAAGAAAAGGATAGTGGTTGTCTACATGTGTGTTGTGATAGAGAAATTAAAAAGAATAGATTAGTGCATAGCTATGGCAGGGGAGGGCAAGAAGGCAGAGTCCTGGAGGAGGAGGCTCAGGTGTTGTCAGAGGAAGGTGGGATTTCTGAATTAAAAATTACCAGGGGCACGTGTAGTGACACAGCAAATTAAGCCACTGTCTGGGAAGCCAGCATCCATAGGGGTGCCAGTTTGAGTCCCAGCTGCTCCACTTCTGGGTTATCTCTCTGCTAATGTACCTGAGAAAGCTGGAAAAGATAGTTGAAGTACTTGGTTTCCTTCTATCCCTCTGGGAGACCTGGGTGGAGTTCCTGGCTCATGGCTTTGACCTAACCTTAACCCTAGCCATGGTGGCCATTTTGGGGAGTGAACCAGAGGATGGGAAATCTTAACCTCTCTTTCTCTGAAATGTTGCCTTTCAAATAAACAGAGAAATAAATAAATAAATCTTTTATTAACAAGCAAAGAGGAAAGCAGTGTCTTAGAAGGGTTACATAGGCCAGCTCCCTGGGTTCTTTCTGTGGATTCTGTGGGTTCAAGTCCCGGGGCAGAGGACTTCCTAAGAATCACACTAGCACACCAGCAATGGCAGAACTGGGATCAGAACCCTGGGCCCCAGCTCCCAAGAGAAGATCTTTTCCTAATGTACTTTTGGCAGAGGAGGGCTTGGGGAAGAGCCAGGTGTAGACAAGAAGGCTATGAGGATTGCAACACTAGCTATTGATTGCTGGGCACTGAGATCCGTAGGCCTTGGTACCACCCGGCTCAGTCCATTGCCAGCTGTGATGTGTCTGCCAGGTCTGCGGTGGCCACTGTTTGAATGCAGGTTCAGCCATTCTTAGAGTCTCACAAGCTTATGAGTGAGGCTGATGTGGCTAAGAACCATGCTGTAATTTAAAGCAAAGAAAGAAGAGAACAGAGAAAAAATAAGATGAGGGAGAGAGAAAGAAAGGAAGGAAAGGATTGGGGCAGAAAACAAACACAAGAGGGGGAGAGAGGAAGAGGGCAAGGGAAAGTGGGGAGGTCCCAGGTGGCACCCCACCACGGTCCCCCCTCACCCCGGGGCTCACTGACTGACCCGGTCTTGCTCCTCCTCAGCATGGCTGACAGTGGGGTTGTCCACAGCGTCCCAGCAGGACCAGAAGAACCTCCTCTACACGCTCTTCAGCCTGTTTCACTCTGTCTCCAAAGCTGAGCGGAAGCGGCTCACGGTGTTAATACACTTAGCCTACCCAGACCTCGCTGGGCTCAGGGACACCGTGGCGCACATATCAAGACTCTTCAGTCCCCAAATCCTGGCAGGGCAGCTGCTGGTGATCCACGCCCCAGAGGAAGTCTACCCGGCCGTGGATAAGCAGGACTGGGACTACGGTGGGCAGGAATACTCCAAGCAGAATGTGGCCCATGCCTTCCTCATGAGTTTTGCCAAGAACCTCTCCAGCTACTTCCTGTTATTGGGAGACAACGTCTTCTGTGCTCCCAACTTCATCACGCACATTCACTCCAAGGTGACTGCCTTGAAGTTCTATCCTTGGGCGCTGCTGGAGTTCTCCAACATGGGCTTCCTGGGCAAGCTCTTCCGCAGCAGGGACCTCCCACTCTTGGCCCACTTTCTGCTGCTCTTCCACAAAGAGAAACCACTAGACAGGATGATCTCTCACTTCCGCTCCCTCCTCGGCCAGGATGACCCCATCCTCAGCCAGCCCTTCCTCTTCTACCACAGGGTATACCACCCCACTACTGGCAATGAAGCGGTTCCCAAACATAGCCCTCCCGACAGGCCCAACAACCCACCTGCAGCTGTCTACACCAATATGAAGGTGTTCACCGTCCACTTCCCCTGGGAGGCCTACACTCTGGACGAGTCATTCTTCTGGACCTACAACGTGAGCGTGGAGAACCACCTGACTGTGATATTGAACCACCCAGCAAACCTGAGCAGGGTGCAGGTGCTGACGGGCTCCATTGTGGACGGGGCGAACGCCCTGGAGCAGGGGCAGGTGGAGCTGGGATATAACCCCTTGGGGACACCTCAGTACTGCACCAGCTTCACCCTGCTGGGCCACCTCCTGGAAGGGCAGATGGACCAGAAGATATTCGGGAGGCGTATGGGGTATGAAGTGAGTTGTGTGAGGCTGGTGGTGAAGCTCTCTCAGCTGGGTGGTCTCATGGTCAGGCACATCAACCTCTGGGAGGAAAAATCCCAACTACCAACACCCTGATGGGGAGTCAATGATGGTATGAAAAATTAAACCCTTGAACCCACTTCCTTCTGGTCTTGGTGTCACCCAGCTATTAGGAGACACGTTCCTTCCTTTCTCTAGCTAAACAAGCAGCTCTCACAGGTCACTTGCGCTGGGAAAAGAGAACTTCATTCGGTGAAGGAGTGATGGGACGCTGAATGAGCCACAGTGGGGCAGGAGGGGCCTGTGTGTGTACACTTCAGTGATCAGAGGTGGAGGTGACGTTTGCTGTGGGGGATGGGTGAGTAGAAAGTCAGAGGTGCCTCTAAAACTGACCCCAAAAATAAGCCAAGAAAGCGAGTGTAGTTAGGAGTCTATCCCTTAGATGTTTAGGGAAATAGCAACAAAATGACTCCAACCTCGGGCTTCTAAGCTGTGTCCCCCGGCAATCTTCCCTTTCTCCTCCCCACCCGGTGTTTGTAACCAAAGCTCCTTTGGCCCATCAGGTATTTACTCCTTGACTCCCTGCCGGCTTCTGCGTCCATAACAATACAGACACTCCTTATTTGTTATGGAAAACAAGGGGGAGGGGCATTTTCCAATCACATTCTTGTTCCTTCCTTTTTAAAATGTTTGTTTGAAAGGCGGTGAGAGAAAGAGGAAGAGATGTCTAAGAAAAATAAATCTTCCACCTGCCGGTTCACCCTCCTGAAGCTGCTTGCAAGGAGGACTTCCGGTGTGGCTGCTGGCTCCAGTTTCCATCTAGCAGGGAAGGGTGCCTGTGGAAAGCAGCGGGGGGCGGGGGGAATGGTCCGAGCACGCCCCCCCAAGACTCCCCGTCTTCAGCCTGGCACAGCTCTGGATATTACAACTGCTTGGGGAATGAATCAGCAGATGGAAAAATTCCTTTTTTCTCTCTGTTTTTCTACCTTTCAAATTTGTAAATATGTAAATATTTTTTAAAAGGGAAAAAAAGGCATAGGATTATTCAATGGAGAAAAGAGCTTTCAAAAAAATTTCCCCCAGGCTTTAATGTTTATTAATTTTTGTTGCAAAATCAGATACACAGAAAGGAGGAAAGACAGACAGGAAGCTCTTCCGTCTAATGATTCACCCCTCAAGTGACCACCTGAACAGCCGGTGCTGTGCCTAATTGGAGCCAGGAGCCTCTTCCAGGTCTCCCACGTGGGCTTAGGGTCCCAAGGCTTTGGGACATCCTTGACTGCTTTCCCAGGCCACAAGCAGGAAGCTGGATTAGAACCGGCGTCCATATGGGATTCTGGCACATTGAAGGTGAGGACTTTAGCTACTAGGCCACTGCACCAGGCCCCAAAAGATGGCTTTTCTTACAGAATTAATGTGTGAGGAAACTGTGCCGCACATTTGGACTCAAAGGAAGATAAATATTAAGCCTGTTTATACATACCCTTTCCATTCTTTAAGATTGATTTATTTATTTTAAAGGTAGAGTAAAAGAGAAAGGAGGGACAGGGAGAGAGAGAGAGAAATCTTCTACCTGTTGGTTCAATCTTCCAATAGTTGCAATGACCAGAACTAGGCCAGGTCCAAGTCAGAAACAGGAATCCCATCTGTGTCTCCCACGCGGTGGGCCACCTTCCACGTGTGCGGAGCGATTTGAAGGTCATCACGGAGACTGATGTTCTGCCTGGCGCCATTCCTTCTTCCTCACAGCTCACCAATCAGATGTAACCTGGCATTCCACCTGAGAAATGCCAGTCTCCCAGCCCTGCCCACTCAGCAGTTACTCCTAGGCATTCACCTGCAGGCACCAATCCCCTGGGGCCTGCCTCAATCCCTCCTAATCCCGCCTCACACATTGCGGGCCTACCTGAACATCAGGGGCCCCAGGTACCTCCATCTCCCCCCTCCCGCTGATCTCCACCACCTCCACCCCGTTCCTGCCCCGCTGGAATAAACCTCCTAATACCTCATTGCGTCTGGTGTTTTCAGCTCACGGTAAAGAACCAGGTTGCGGGAATTAGCTGCACATAATAATATCATCACCATAATATCGTAATAGCATATGAGCGAGAACTCAAACCGTCTTAAATAAGTAGCACCACTGTCCCCCCGTGTATCAGCAGGATCTGTAGCAGAAGTAGAGCTGCCTGGAAACTCACAGGGGATCTGGAGTCACAGGCAGCAACTTCATCCGCTGCATCATCATGTTGGCCCCTCACGTATTTTCTTCGTTTCAATTTATATACAAGAGCTCTGTTTCTGCCCGATGTTATGGCTCAATGGCTAAATCCTCACCTTGCAAGTGCCCAGATCCCATATGGGTGTCCTGGCTTCAGATCAGCTCAGCTCCAACTGTTGTGGCCATTTGGGGAATGAACCAGTAGATGGAAGATTTTTCTCTCTGTCTCTCTTCTCCATAAATGTGATTTGTCTTTCAATTAAAAAATAGATAAATCTTTAAAAAAAAAAAAGGAGAAAACTTTGTTTCACATTCATAAAAAGCTCAATATTGTAAAGACAAGCAAGCCTTCATTCTGTCCCTCCCTCTCTCTGTAGATCTGATTTTCAAATAAAAATAAATCTTAAAAAGAGTGGACCCTCTCTTCAAGAACTATGATTCAATAACAAAACGGAGTGAGATGAGGTGCATGCTAAAAAAAAGCATGTGAGCCCTGAGCATCTGGGGCACGAGGGAAACAATACTGGATGAAGAGCAAAGGCCTGCCCTGTACAGCACAAGCCACGTCCAGGACATGTCCAGACTGCACCAATCTGTGGAGACTCAGCAGCAATTTGTGGCCACATGTGACAGCAAGTGGCATTGGAGAGTCAGTGCTAACAGATATGGGACTTTGTGGGGCTATGAAATGATTCTAAAGTGATTATGGTGATGGTTATACAAATTGTGACTAAATGAAAATTATAAAAAGAATGAGTTTTGGTGCTGATGTTTTGGTTTAGTGAGTAGTTGCCTGAGAAGCTGGTATGCCATATGGGTGCTGGTTCGTGTGTCAGCTGCTCTACTTTTTTTTTTTTTTTAAGATTTATTTATTTTTATCGCAAAGTCAGATATACAGAGAGGAGGAAAGACAGAGAGGAAGATCTTCTGTCCAATGATTCACTCCCCAAGCGATCACAATGGCCAGAGCTGTGTCCATTTGAAGCCAGGAGCCAGGAACTTCCTCCAGGTCTCCCACGTGGGTGCAGGGTCTAAGGCTTTGGACTGTCCTCAAATGCTTTCCCAGGTCACAAGCAGGAAGCTGGATGGGAAGTAGAGCTGCCAGGATTAGAACAAGTGCCCATATGGGATCCCAGGGCGTTCAAGGTGAAGACTTTAGCTGCTAGGCCACCGCACCCAGCCTAGCTGCTCTACTTCTAATCTAGTTCTCACAAAATGGTTGAAGTGCCTGGGCCCCTGCCAGCCTTGTAGGAGACCTAGATGGAGCCTCTGACTCCTGGCTTTTACATGGCCAAGTTCCCACTGTTGCCGGCATTTGCAGACAGAACCAGCCAGAAGAACCTGCTCTGTATCAGTATCTCCCTGTCTCACTCTGCCCAGCAGATAAATAAATCTTGGGGTGGGTGCTGTGGCATGGTGGGTAAAGCTGCCACCTTCAGCATCTCCCATGGGAGCCTGTTTGAGTCCCGCTGCTCCACTTCCAAAACAGCTCTCAGTTAATGGTCTGAAAAGCAGAAAAGATAGCCCAAGTGCTGGGGTCCTTGCACCCACTGGGGAGACCTGGAAGAAGATCCTGGCTCCTGGCTTTGGCCTGGCTCAACCCTGGTTGTTGCAGCCATTTGAGTAGTGTTCTAGTGGATAAAAGATCTCTAATTCTCTTTCTGTCTCTCTCACTCTCTCTAACTCTGCATGTTACATAACTTAAAATATATATATATTTAAAAGAAAAACTATGTCTTTAAATTACCTCATTCAAATACAGCCACAGATTGTGAAACCATGAGACCTCAATAGAGACATCACTGCAGGGTTTCCAAGAGAAGACCCAGTTAACCCTAGAATGCTGCTTGGTACTTAGCACTCAGGGGAGACATCAGCCACCATCAGGCTCACTCCACGAAACACGGAGCAAAGACGGCCATCCCGTCAAGGTGCCGTGAGTCCCCGATACCCTGCGAGGAGCCCCTTCTTTCTGCTGCCTGGCCTGCCCCTTCCTCTGGACTCCCTGGGCACCCCTTGTCAAGGCGAGGACTTTAGCACTGTGCCGGGCCCCAAACTCAGATTTTAACCCCAGCTACATTTGCCAACTCAGGGATTTTAAGATGTTAACTGAGCCAGTTTCCCAGCTTGTAAAACAGGATTCCACCCACCACATGCGAGTTCAAGAAAATCCAAACAGAGGGAGGAGTGGGAGCTCAGAGAATACTAGGCCTACACTTCCTTGTCTCTGGAAGTGCAGGGCCCCAGGCCTGAGTGTTGGCCAGGCAGGCATGCCTCCTGCCCACTGCCCGCTCCTGTAGAGAGGACCCCAGGCTGTGGCCCCTGCCAGGGGCAGCTGGACAAGGTACACCAAGCCTGGGCTCAGCCTTAGGCAGGCCCAGGCAGGTAGGGCACCTCTCCTGTGGCCAGCCCTGCCTCAGGTGGGTGTGGACAGGCAGTTCTCTATCATCAGGCTCCAGGACACCATTCTCCACTTTCTGGCAGGGCAGCATCAGGAACCCTGGGCATCAGGAAGCAATGTGGTCAGCAGGAGGACTAAGGACAGAAACTCTGGGTCCCCTTTCGGCTGTTATCTCTCCCCTCACTCTGTGTGGGAGAGGATGGCATCCACCGACAGGAGGAGGAGCCGGCTTGGGGGTGTGGCCTGAACACATGGCTCAACCATGGGTGGCTGCTATCCTAAATGTTCTCTATGGGGCAGGCAAGGTGAGTGCATGTCCCGAGTAAGAGCTGGAACCATGAGGCCAGAAATGCATCGTGCCGGGTTCTGACACAACCCAGTTTATAGTTTTGCTATGGCTTTCCCAGAGCTGTTGGAGTAAAAAACAAATCTCTTATATATTGGTTCATTCTTCAAATCCCCACAATATAGGGCGGGGGGTGGGGTG